CACATTATAAAGGTAAATCTTCAGCAAATTCATCAAGTTTTATAATTTTTGCTTAAGGAAAACAGCTCCGATTTAGCAACGTTAAGTACAGTACGAGCATACATTTTATTCTACTTTTGCTTGGTTTTCCCAAATTATACAGATTAATGAACAAATATGCTAACACGACATAATATTTTTAATGATGTTGTCTGGCTATTGCTAAGGCTGCTGTCCTGCTGACTGTGCCAAGTTGTCTGGCTGTGTTAAGGCCTGGAATCCTGCTCACAGTGCCAACTGTAGTGCTCTTAATCCTGTTCAGGACGCCAGTTGTAAAGCTGGGCGACCACGCTAGTTGTCAGGCTCTTTTACCTGCCGGTAATCCTGCACTGACAGGGCCGATTGTTGAGCTAGGGCTCGGTCTGGAGCCCACAGACCCCTCATGCCCACTCACAGACTGGGTCACAAACCCTTCATATGCTAGGCTGAGTCACCGGACCTCACACACACCAGGCTGGGTCACCAGACCCCTTCACACAGGTCTATGAGCTAGGGAACTGGCCAAAAGGGCCTTGGAGCCATTGGCTAGAAAGCATGGCCGCGCAGGGCAGACGCCTAAGGCTGATACCCACCCGCCTGCCTCACCAAACTCTCTCTCTCGCTCTCTCTCTCTCTGCCTCTCTCTACTCTTTCTCTCTTTCTCTCCCTCTCTCTCTCTCTCACTCAAGAACACAAGAATAGCAACAAAACTAAAAAGATACATTGGCGCACATGCACCCTAACTACACACACACACACACACAATTTGCTTACAAAGGATGCTGAACCACACCCAGCTGGACTCGAGCCATGGGCCCTGACCAAACTATTCTATTTTCCCAACAGATGTGAAATGTAAATTCCTATTCAATTAATTTAATCATTGCTCTGGTAAACTTTATTTCAACAGTAATTATATTTTGTAGTATATCCACTTAAACACATTTTTCAAATCTTTAAGTAACCAAAATGTTGAACTGATATGCAGTTGAGTTAATTAATGCATAATTTCTAAGAAGGAATACTAAAACACTGATTACTAAGCATAGTTGAAGTGTATATACTTTTGCTTATTTTTGTACGCTATAAAAAGGCTATATAGTCTTTGAGTCACTTTAACAAATGTGTTCATTTTTCCTATTTTATGAAGATGTAAAAGAGATGTACACAGCTGTAGAAAGCTGTGGAAATATTACCAGTATTCATGAGTCTGTTAAAATGCTTGTGCATTACTGAAAGTTCTCAGTTATCCAACCCCCATGGATTTTTTTTACACAGCTGTAGAAAGCTGTGGAAATATTACCAGTATTCATGAGTCTGTTAAAATGCTTGTGTATTACTGAAAGTTCTCAGTTATCCAACCCCCATGGATTTTTTTTCTCCCCTGTTGAACAGAAGTTAGTTACTTAGTTTAAAATTATAATTACTAATTATTATGAGTGTTTAAAACTACAGCAAGAGCAATAGTGTCAGTAAAATACAACTAGGTATATGCTTTTGTTTTTCAAAGAAAAAGAATAATTTTGCCCTAAAACAGCAATTCTTGGGATTTTCTGTTTTGGGGTTTTTGTTTTTTTTTTCCTGACCTTTTTTAAACCTCTGGATTCTTTTATATCATTGGGATTTATTAAGGACCCTGAAAAGCTAGCTGTCTATATAACTATTAAAATTTATGGTATTGGAAATTAAAACTAACAAATTTTTAAAAGAGGTATGGATTCATTTGATAAGAGCAATCAAGAATTCATTGTATGTGAACACCAATAGCACAAATATGATAGTGATGATGATGATGATGATGAATAGTTTGGACCTTGCAGACCTCTGAGACTTGTCTTAAAGTGTCAGTTTGATCTTGAACATGAGAACACAATAAAACAAAATGTAATTTTTGTCTTGTTTGATAATATTTGACTCTGAAAAGAGGCTATGAAAATTGTAGAAATAAAGTTCACTTAGATTCGACAGGCTTACTTCCTCAGTTTTGATGGGCTTACTTAATTGATTTACCAATTAATGCTTTGGGGCTGGCCAGTGAGCTTAGTGTTGTTAACACCAAGGTCAAGTGTTCAGATCCCCTTTCTGACCAGCCACCAAAAAAAAAAAAAAAAAATTTAATGTTTTTGCCTACAATATGAAAGGTTATTCTTACCCACGTGGCAATTCTCAAATTCGAACATTCACACCTTTGTATTTTCTTAGGTTGCAAACGCTTCCTCAGATTAATCATCCTAATGCAGCAATACTGCTCTATTGCACTCTCCTCAAGGCCTTGAAGGACCAGCTCTCCAGCAAGGCAAACTGTTCCCAAAACCCAACCTCATTTTCTTTTACAGTTTCATCTCCTACTTTTCCTTCATACAAAACCCTCCACTATATTTAAAAAAAAAAAAATCGCAACTCCTGAAATATGGTACGGGTTGTCCTGCTGGCTCTTCTACTGTCAAGGAAAGCATACTCCAAGAAGCATATAATAAACCAGTGCCTATGGCAGCCCAACAACTCCACGTGGTAGAGCCAAAGGGGTAACGGACTGATATGGTTTCTTTGGATTAAATTACGTACTGCTTTTAAATTATAAAGATACTGAGAAAAAAACTATTATGGTAATTTTGGGGGGAAAGAGTTAAAATAAGTGAGGAGAGTTGGGGACAGCATTCTAAGCAGAAGGAACAACACAGCTTAATGGTGAAGAGCACATGCTTTTGCATCAGACAGACATGCCTTCAAATCTTAGTTCTGCCTCTTAAAAGCAGTGTGACCTAAGGTAAACTTCTCAGTTAAGCTTCAGTGTGGAGGATGATACTTTTTTCCAGCAGTCCTGGGAGGATTTGAAAATAAAATTAATTATGTAAATAAAGCACCTAGTATAGTGCCCAGTATATGGTAAGAACTAAATAAAGAGCTCCTTTTAAATTAATACTACTGAGGCCGTCTCAGAACCAGTGAAAAGGCTGGTTAGGAAGTGGACAGCTGGTAAAGAAGGGTAAGAAACACACACACAGTACTTCTGTCTTGTGCAGTATTCGTTATTCACCAAAAAAGCATATAGCAAAAGCATTCTTCAAGACCCTTGGCTAGATAACCATGTAAAGCTTGGTTTCTTTAGATATGAAGTGAAATAGTAGGTAAAATGGAATCTAAAGTTCCTTTCAGCTCTAACCTTCAAAAAGACTATAAGAACTGCTGTGAACTGAAATTTGTAAAGCTTGGTTTCTTTAGATATGAAGTGAAATAGTAGGTAAAATGGAATCTAAAGTTCCTCTCAGCTCTAACCTTCAAAAAGACCATAAGAACTGCTGTGAACTGAAATTCTAGGGGTTATGAATGTTCATCACCATTACATCGTTAATTGCTTTTTGTACTGCACTATGTGAGGGCTTACTGATGTCCTGCTGAACTGACAAATTTTGGAAATGGAGCAACAATTCAGCCCCAACTAAAAAATTCCAAGCACCATCAATTTTAAAATGATAAATCTATAATGTAATAAACTTTAAAATTTTTTTCTATTTACATACACTACATAAAAATACTTCATCATTTGGTCATACTAAATATTTAAGGAGTTATAGAAGACTATAACTTAAAATATGAAAGAAATAAATTCATCCTGCAGTCTCCCATGCCATATCTTTATAAGAAAGTAAAGCTATCAATAAAATTGTTTAAAAATAACAAAATATTAACAATTCAACTTCTATATGTAAATGATTCAGATATTACTGTGACAAGGATTGAATCGATCACATTTATAGCAGTTACATTTCTAAGTAGGCAGAAAATAAGAGTGTATTCAAAAAAGATTTAGTACTGTGAAATTATTTTTAAGGGCGAAATTCTTTAATGTTTCCAAATATATATCCCATCGATAAATTAAAGGAGTATAAAAATATATTGAAACTATAAACATCCAGTCCTTATTACTTTCAATATAAGGGCTTCATCATCACCCATCTACAAAGAAACTTGAAAAGATCCTTCCACCTGCACACATGCCCTTTCTTTCCTCATAGTTGGTTAAGGGTAAATAATTATAGCTATTCATGTGTCGAAGTAGTAGTCACAGCAGTAATAACAGAAATAATCATAATATTCCAATTTTAAATGTTTTTAAAAAAAATTATGTGGTTCCAACCTGGT